CTATACACACACACACTATTGGAGAACGCAAAATAAGATGCTAGATTTAATTCCTAATATATCAATAATTATAGGCAATATAAATGGCTTAAATGTTCCAGTTAAATACCAAAGATTAATAAACTAAATTTTAAAAAATGGGTGGCCTGTATTAATAATTATAAAGTTTCAATTAATCTAGAAGATATAAGAATTATAACTCTATTCCTAATGACAGAGCCTCAAAATACATAAAGATAAAATTTACAAACCTACATACAAAGAGAAATAGACAAGTCCATAATCATAGTGGGCATTTTTAATGCATAATTCTCAGTAACTTATAGAAAAGAGTTGAGAAAAAAGTAAGGATATAAGAGAAACAAAAATAAACATAACTGACCTGATAAACAGATATAGAACCTTTTGGAATAAACATTAATTATAAGCACATGTGAAAATTTTTTAAATTGACAATTTACAATATTCAGTTATAAAGCAAAAGTTAGCAAGTTCCAAAGGACTGAAATCACACAGATAGCTAGAAAATCTCTACATATTTGAAATTCAGAAAACTATTCATAAGTAAAACTTAAGTCAAAAGTAAAGTATAACAGGAAACAGAAAAGAATTTAAACTGAATTTTGGGATGAAGATGAAGCAGTACTTAGAGACAAATCTATGGGTATATTAGAAGCAAAGTCTGAAAATTAATGAGTTAAGTATTTATCTCAAGAAGGAAAATAAAAGAACAGCAAAAGAACTTCAAAGAACATAGAATGAAGAAAATGCTGATTATAACAAAAGATAATAAACAAATATACAATAGAAGGGAATAGAAAGTGGATAATTAAAAATAATTATAACATAAATAAGCTTGGAGGGAGGAGTAATTATGAAAAATAGAAAAAGAAACAAATAAATCAATATCAGGAATAAAGAAGGGATTATCACCCTTGATATATACGTATTTTTAAAATAATAGGATATTTCAAACTTTATGATAATAAATTTGGAGTTTTAAATAAAATAGATAATTTTCTTTTAAAAGGTAGCTTACCAAAACTCAGGAGAAAGAGAGACAGAGAGACAGAGATAGGAGAAAGAGAGAGGTCTTACATTATCCTGTAGCCCTTAAAGAAGTAGAATCAGTAGGGCGGTGTTGTTTTTCCAATACACCCTTTTTACAAAGAAATCTCTAGTCTCACATGGCTTCACTGAAAATTCTTCCAAAAGTTAACAGATTAAAAAATGTCCTGTTATCCAATCTATCAAAAAACAAAAGTGAGATAATACTCTCAACTCATTTTATAAGACCATCTTAACCTTGAAATCAAAATCCAACAAAAATAAAATAAAAATTACTTTCTGTTTTCATTTATAAACATACATGCAAAAAATCTTAAAAACAAAAATTGTCAAATGAAATTCAACAATGCAGAAAAGGCATAGTACATCATAAACAAATTGATTATATGACAAAAAGACAAGGTGTTTAAACATTAGAAAATCAATTAATAACTATTTGATTAAAGAGATCAAAATGTTATCCTACTAAATGTGATAAAAAGTGGCAAAATATATATGCTATTAAAAGAAAGAAAAACTCTTATCAAATTAAAAACAGAGCCAGTTCCTTAATCTAATAAAGGGCATCTATTTTTTCAAAAAAGTACATATTACACCTAATGATTAAATATTAAAAATATTTCCCTTATAGGTACAAAATGATTATATCATACCAGAAGTCCAATCCAGTTCAGTAATGGAATAAAAGGAAATGAAAGGTGTAAAGATTAAATTAGAAGGAACAACAGCCTCATTATTTTGGGATGATGTGATTGTACATGTAGAATTTCCAAAATCTATAAATAAAATGTTTGATTTAATAAGAGAGTTTATTGAGTTTGCTAGATTCAAAATAAATTTATAAAAATAAATGTTATTTCTATATAAAAGTAGTAAACAAAGAAATGTAAAGAAATGCTGTTTATAATGGAATATATTCTGTCTAGTAGTAAATATAACAAAACACAAGTAAGACCTCTATAAAGAAACTTACATTACTTCACTGAGAAACATTAAAGAAGACCTTAATAAATTGTATGAGGTACTATATTCGTGGATTGAAAGACTCGCTATTTTAAAAACTTCAATTCTTCCAAATCAATTTATGGTTTCAATTTGTTCTCAGCCAAATCCTAGCCAACTTTTATTGCTGCTGATATTGATGAAATAGTTTATAAAATGTACACGAAACTGCAATGTCTTCAAGACACCCTTGAAGAAGAAGAAAAAGAAAAAGATGGGAATATTTGTTATATCAAGATTTATTTGAAAGCCACAAGAATTAAGACAATGGTTGTATTAATGCAGGAATAGACAGAAACAGAACAGAGTCTCAAAACAACCGCCCATATATGGACTCTTAGAGAGGAAGCACTGCAGATCAGTAGGGCAAAAAGCCTTTTCAGCTGCATTCTGATTCCTTAGCATGGTCTACACCATCTAGGCCCAGCTACTCCCCCAGTCATTTCCTACCAGCATTCATATCCCTCACTCCCCACCCACTCTGCGGCCCTCCTCGCAATTGCTCAGATACACTGGCACGTGCCCGCTTCAAAGCCATTGTCCTACTGGTCCTCCTGCGTGGCTAACTTTGCCTGCAGACATTCCCATGGCTTGTCCATTCACTACATTTATATCTTATTAAAATATTATCTTTTCAGAGTGGTGTTCCTTGAATAGTCTTTCAAAAATAGGTCTTTTCCATTATTTTTTACCTCACTGCTTTGCTTTGTTTTCCACTGCCATTCTACATCTTCTAGCCAAGATGAAAGAATTTTTTGTGTGCCCCTAGTTCCTGGTTCGTGACCTGAGACGTAATAGATCCTAATTAATACATGCTGGATGTATGAATAAAATATATGAAAAATGTTCAACCTCACTGGTAGTCAAAGAAAATACTTCAAAGGAGATACCATTGGAGGACTACATCAAACTAAAAACCTCCTGCACAGCAAAAGAGACCACCAACAAAACAAAAAGACAACCAACTGATTGGTAGAAGATACCTGCAAATGATGTCCCTGATAAGGTGATAAAATCCAGAAATATAAAGAACTCATACAACTCAAGAGAAAATGAACAAACAGTTGGATTAAAAAAATGGACAAAGAACCTGAATAGACACTTTTCCAAGGACAACACATAGATGGCCAATAGATATTTGAGAAAATGCTCAATATCACTGTCTATATGGGAAATGCCAATCAAAACTACAATGAGATACCACCTCACACCCATTAGAATGGCTGTTATCAATATGACAAGAAATAACAAGTACTGGAGAGAATGTGAAGGAAAGGGAACCCGCATATACTGCTGGTGGGAATGTAAATTGGTGCAGCCACTAGGGAAAAACAGTATGGAGCTTCCTCAAAAAATTAAGAATAGAGCTCCCATAAGACCCATCTGAATATCTTCTGAATATCTACCTGAAAATTTTAGAAATACTCTTGTAAAGATATATGTACCCCTATATTCATTGAAGCATTATTCACAACATCTAAGACATGGAAACAACTCAAGTGTCCTTCAATGGATGATTGGATAAAAATGTGGTGCATATATATATATATATATATATATATATATATGTGTATATATACATATATATATATATATAAACACACACAATGGAATACTGCTCAGCCACAAAAAAAGATGAAATATTGCCATTTGCAACAATATGGAGGAATCTTGAAAGTATTATGCTAAGTGAAATAAGTCAGATTGAAAAACCAGCAACCACATGATTTCACTTGTATGTGCAACATAAAACAAAAAGCAACAAGTGACCAAACTCGCAGATACAAACAACAGAATGGTGGCTACCGGAGGGAAGGGGGCTGCGGGGAGAATGAAGAGGGTAAGGGAATCAAACACAGGTTGTTGTAAGGAAACTAGGCTTCGGGTGGTGAGCACATAATAAAGTATACAGATGTTGTATTATAAAATTGCACAGCTGAAGTTTACATGTTATTAATCAGTTACCCCAATAAACAATAATAATAAAAAAAGAAAGACAGAAAGAGGTATCATTCTCTCTCTTAAATAACAGACTTTGAAATTTACATACTCATCACAGTTAAGCACAGTTAAGCCTTCCTCTAAACACTGTAGAAAGACTTCTGAAATAAAACTGAGCCATAAATCAAGAGCATTTACAATAAATTCTCTGAGTTAATATGCTATATCTAGAAAATAATTTTAAAATGTAGTTACTATATAAGCAATGATATTTATTGTGGCATTAATGATAAAAAAAGAAATAATGGAAACATCAACACACAAGATAATAGCTAAGTAAATTTTATACACTCCTATGATGCAATATAATGCATCATTTTAAATGATGTTTACAAATAATTTATGTAATGTGGGGAAAGCATATGATATAATATTAAGTGAAAAGGGTGGGATATAAGAATTATTTGCATGGTAGAATACCATGGAAAGAACTAAGGTATACATTGAAAAATAGAGGAAGGAAATACACAAAAATAAAAATAGTAATTATACATGAATATGAATGATTTAATTTTAAAATAATTGTATCTTTCTGGGAGAAAAAACTTAAAGTCCTTGATTAGCAGCATTCCCTTTGCCAAGAGATCTTTTGTTCTTTTTGTGTTTTTATTTGTAAATTGGTCAAGCACATTTCAGTTGTGCTTTTAGTCTTAAATGCTCTCTCAATGATATTATGCCATTTACAGCTCCTCGTCATATCATCTGGTACTCTTTAAGCAACTCATTATATCAAAATATTATTTTCCTATCCTATTTTACTTTGACATGATTCAACCAAGCAATTTTGCCTTACTGTCTTACACCTGTATGCACTTCCTTCTCTGAAGCAACTGAGTTCAAGGCTTTGCCTCTAACTAAATATTCAGGATCAAATATGACCCCATCTCTTCTTCCCTGCCCCATTTCTATTCACCTCCTCAGTCACCTACCTTGCGGTCCTGCTGTTAGCTTGCCCAGCATCTTCAGGCGCAGCAGCTTCTGCTCCCTGAGGGGCTGCCTTCACTGTTCTCCGACGACAGCATATTTGCTCAGCTCATGCTCTCGAAGCAGGGGAGACCAAGTGCTGGAGCAGACTTCAGGGGACCCAGGCAGCATGCCGCTTCACAGTCAGGCCTACAGAAGGAGAACCCAAAAGATTTAAGTATGCATATGTGTGTTTGTTCCAACAACTCTAGAGGACTCTGTGTACTCTGAAAATTCCAGAACCACTTTTATATCACCATTACCTTCTTGATCCACAGAAGAATTAGAGCCATAAGTTAGGCCCAACCTCCAACTCAGTGTGAGAAAGGAGAAAGACCTTACAGATTAAACTTGCCAACAACAGGCTATCGAATTTTGGCAAAGAAATGTCTATTTTCTATTTCACAATTTGAGGTGGTCAAGTTTTCCCAGTGTATGACATTATACACTTGGATAGTTTCTTTTGACACATGACATGCTTCATCTTTGCCACCTGATATGAGTCATTCTGAGAGGCTTAGCTGAATCCATATAGCATGGCCATTTTGTATTTTTTCTATCATCTTCTAGATTTCTCTTTTGCTTTGTCCATCAGTGTATTTTCCTCTTGAGTAGCTGAAAATACAAGGAACCTCCTCAACAAATTAAAGGAGCACAAGCTGTATCTCTCCCAATTTCTCTAACCTGTCTTCCTGTCATGAATCCTCCATGGGAGACCTCTGCCTGCTCTTAACATTTAAGCAAGACATGAAATAATTTTTCTATAGTTGTGTATCAGTGCCTGTGCTTACCCAATGACTAATTACTATTGAGTATACTATATTTAGATATTTTAATCTAGTCTTAAATTACTTTCTCGATGCTACATTCAACTATCAAACGTCTCTCAAGATCACCAATCCACAATAGAGATTAGTCAGGCTTCAATCAGGTGACTATATATCTAAATACAAGTTTTTGCCAATATAATTATAACACAACCATACCATAAAAATTGTCCAAGCTGAAAATACTTGTATCACTCCTTCCTACATCAGAACCCCAGTGGCCAAGACAGTGAGCCAGAGTAGGTCAAATATGTCTCGGACAAAAACGATTAGTCATATTTTTAAACTGTTCCAATTTTTAACTATCAATTGCCTTTTCTCTGTTTTAACCAGGCCAATATAGTCTTTCAAAATGCTTTCCATGCCTTGAAAGCAAGGATAATTACAAGCAAGCTCAATCATTCATGTTACATTTATTTATTCATTGCCAACTAAATTTATTTTTAGACTAATTTCAACTTATTCTAATATAGTCATTATTGTTTGTCAGTAAGTCTTACACATATGGCTTTCACAAGGTCATAAAATTGGTACAGTTGTTAAATTTCAGAATGAGAGTTTAATTCTGGGAGAAAGAACAATTTTAGAGTAAGGGACAAGGATTTTTATATGCTAAAAATGACCTTTCATTTCATAAGACTGTACTCACACTTTGGAGATCAGGTGTAATAAGTGAGAGCAGACTAAAGGCCCAAGGCAATGACTTTATTTTTGCTTGATTTGGAAGACCCCAAAAACCAGGACTAAGAGTCCAAATGTAAACCTCGTGAAGACACAATAAGAAAAAAACAGGAGTGTAGAATAATAGGGGAGGCGGTGATAGAAGTACCCAAGGCCCCACTGTCTCTGCCCTCAGCAGCCTGCGGGAATGCTAAGTGCCCTGCGAAGCTGAACTATGCCCTCCCCGCAAAGGTTCTGGGTTGTATTGGACGCTACCACAGCAAGGCCGAGGATCTGAAAGGAAGGAACAAGTACGGCGCTTTGTTAGTACTGAAGCTCTTTCACAAGGCCCAGTAGGAGGCCTGAGGAAACAAGACACGAGTTAGTTTTCTGCAGCCCACTCTCTGCTCACCGCCCTGCATTTTTAAAAAAGATATTTTATTGATTTTTAGAGAGAGGGGAAGGGAGAGGGAGAGGGGAAAACATTAATGTCATAGCGAAATATTCATCAGCTGCCTCCTGCACACCCCCTACCAGATCGAGCCCACAACCCAGGCATGTGTCCCGACCAGGAACCCAACCAGCAACTTCCTGGTGCAGGTCCACGGGAGGACACCCACCCAGCTGAGCCACACTGGCCAGGGCCTCCCTGCATTTTCTGCAGGAGAATGACTGCTGTCCAGCCTTTGAATTCTCTCATGCTTGCAGCAGTTTATTTTTAAACAGTTAAAGCAATGTTTCCAACTCCTTTTACCAGTTTTTAAAATCATTACCCTTTCATGAAATTGCACTGTCACTTCTAAAGCAAAGTCACTTCTAAAGCAAAGTCACTTCTAAACCAAAGTGAACAAACCGTACTTGACTTAAACATGTGTTTTCCCAGGCAGTTTTTTTCCATTATGTGGGAATTTAGCAACACTCTGCAGTCCTAAGTGCCACCAGAAAACACTTTCACTATAGAACTGTCAAAATGTAATATGGCCTGCAATAAAACCTAATAGGTAAATAAAGTAACAAAACCAACTTCCTTTTCAAAGGGGCTGTGCAGTAATATTTTTACATGCACTTCTAATACCAAATACTAATATCTTACTAAGTGCAATTGTTTGCAGTTTATATGCCTTGTTCCCAAGCCAGAACATTATTTGGCTGAAGCTGTGATTTTTGTTAACATTATAATCAAACTCATAAATAAAAGGGAAATATTTGGCCAGTTGGGAAGGAGCTGAAATAGAATTGTATGCACAGCAGATCTCAATGATTTTTTTGAAATATACTAAAATATTGCTAATAATTTTGGATTACAGCAAGTGGACTATTATAAATTTCTCTATATTATGGAGGTGACGTTCAAGGTGGGGATTTTTCTGTTTTTGTTTTCTACTATAAATGTATCTTTTTCTTTAATTCTCTCTTTCTTGACCCAGGTTCTGAAACTGCATAATCAACCTTTTATCTTTCCTTGGGTTGCTTTCTGTTCATAAATCTTTTAACTCAGTGTACTTCTTGAGGTGACTATGTGTGTCTCTTGCTTTGCTCAAGGCACACAACAGCATTCATTTTATACATAAAGCAAACAAAGAAAACATGGGGTGGGGATCTGTTTCTTCTAAAAAGTGATGTTACATCTTGGATCAATAAGTGAAAATAATTCTCTTTTAAAAAAATAATTTCTCCCTTAGATTTGGGACATACATACAAATAAAGAAAAAAAAAGAAACTGTAGCAATAAAAATGTACACGTCAACAATACTATAAAATGTTAACAGAAGCCTTGTCTTTTTTTTTTTTTTTTT